GTTTTATCATTTCTAGCAGTCGTTAAACCACAAGTTTACAAGTCGGGAGCAGATACCAGTACGTCGAATTCAGTTCATTCTGCAAGATTTTCACTGAGTTCTCGGTGCATTTCCACCCCATCATCATAAGACAAAAACCATTAGGACCTTCTTTTGATAGCCATTGATCCAACAACTCTGCAGATTGATTGAATTCCACTTCCATGATCCTCCCAGAAGTTCCAGTTAATTCCGGACGTTGGACGGATCCGCTATCCTTCATTTTGGTTATTTCGTACTTTCTGTTTGGAACATAGGCTTCGACAGCGTCTAAGCATAGTTTCACCCAATTTGGCTTCTCAACACGTTGAAGTCCTTCAATGCTCATAAGAACACTTCCCATTCTTGGAGCCGTTTCCACAGGTACAACGACATCAAAGAGTAACAATGCCCCACGTGTCCCCGCCGTACTGACAAAAACCCCTCTGTCCATGCGTTTAAACTTAACGATGTCCTTTCGCATTTTCTTGTCTTTTAACGTGACTAGATAAAAACGTCTATCATCACCATCTCCTACTGGAATACGCTTCACAGCATTGTTGGCTCGGACGTCTCCCTTATCCAACCACAAGTCAAGGATTTCTGCAATCATTTGCGCGGAGCCACCATTCAAACTAGGCAAAGGTTTCAAAATTGTCACGACGAGATATTTTGAAGCATTATCGTCTTTTTTGATCCAAGATTCCATCTTTAATGCATGTTGAGCCCACAATCTGACTTGCGTCGGTAACCATTCAAAAGGCGCAAAGCGCACTCCAGGGACTGCATCAATCAAAGGATCCACCACTTTATAAGTGATGCTGCCAAAAGGTGCTGTATTAACATTCAAAGATAAACATAAGTTAGTTTGTCAGGTTCGAGTGTCATTTGGTTAATTTTAGTAAGATATAAACTTACGGTAGCATTTTGAGTAATCCGACTTTTCGAGATTATCCGCTTGTTTATTACGTTGATCAACCTCGTCGTTTTCCGTTTGAGGCTGTTCGTCGTCTCCTTCGCTTTCTAGAGGAGGAGTTTTATTTGTGTTAGAAGACCAGCCATATAACATGGTTGGGTGATTATTTCAAACTTACGTTCGGATGGAGCCTTTCTCTTCTTCGCTGGAGCCAGGCATAATTGTTCCACTCGGGTGGTTGGTGGATCGTTGTCCGATAGCATGTTGGTATCGGATTGTTGATTTTTAGATGGGTTCGGAGTCGGTGTTGCTTTTTTTTTTTTTTTTTTAAAAAAAAAAAAAAAAAAAAAAGAAAAAGACTTGGTAAGCATCTTTTATGACTTTTATTTTGTCACTTTTTAATTCAACTTGACTTGACTCACCATTTACGGATTGAGTCGGTTCTTGAAACATGACTTTCTTGTTCTTTTTCGTTGAACCAGCCAATTTGGGTGCCATTTTTAAGCTTTGATTAGATTTCTTCTTCTACAAAAAGAAGGTAAAGAAGTCTGTGTGTTAGTAACTTTGATTTTTGTAGTGCACTTCTCCGCAACCAGGGGGTTTTAAACAGAAAACTAAGCCTGCTCCATCCTTCCACGAGTTTTTTGTAGGGACACGCCCCTCTCGCTTCTATGATTTCACAGTACAGCAACTACAGGGTTTTTGGCAGTCTTGATATTCGAAAGTTCCCAACTGGCGCCACGAGGAGGCAACCCGGCTAGCCAGTCATTTCATAAGTAGATTTTCTCTACAATAATATCCGACTACAATAATTTCTTCCTTTAGCACAAAGAATAAGAGAGAAAAATTTGTGCTACCGCAAAGTATACTTATTTATTTCTTTATTTACGACTTAAAGTGAAGGGTGTGAGACACATTGTGGCTCGTAATCTTCCCTGGTTTACAGGGATTCATTAGCTATTTTTAATAGCAGATGAAGGTTTGGGACACCCATACCGTCAATTCCTGTAAGTTTCAGCCTTGTTGCTCCGACTCCAACTGAACATTTTTTAATGTCCCTAACGACAAAAGGGGTGCAGTCAGTCTCTAAGAGACCAACCGCACCCCGTTCGCCGATTAATCCGACTCCAACTGAACATTTTTTAATGTCCTTAACGACAAAAGGGGTGCAGTCAGTCTCTAAGAGACCAACCGCACCCCTTTCGCCGATTCCACACAATTAGATAGTCAGGTGTGGCCGTCAATTCCTATAAGTTTCAGCCTTGTTAATGATCATTTTTTTTTTTTTTTTTAATGTCCCTAACGACAAAAGGGGTGCAGTCAGTCTCTAAGAGACCAACCGCACCCCGTTCGCCGATTAATCCGACTCCAACTGAACATTTTTTAATGTCCCTAACGACAAAAGGGGTGCAGTCAGTCTCTAAGAGACCAACCGCACCCCGTTCGCCGATTAATCCGACTCCAACTGAACATTTTTTAATGTCCTTAACGACAAAAGGGGTGCAGTCAGTCTCTAAGAGACCAACCGCACCCCTTTCGCCGATTCCACACAATTAGATAGTCAGGTGTGGCCGTCAAGTCCTATAAGTTTCAGCCTTGTTAATCTGACTCCAACTGAACATTTTTAATGCTCTTTATGCCAATCAGGATTTAGCAAGTCATAAGACAAACTCCACCCCAATCAACGAATGTCTTATGACATCCTTTAATCTTCATAGGGATTATACCCCTGGCTATCAAGTCACTTCTCACATCATTGATGTGTTTCAGAAAACTTTCAAAACCATTGGCTCTATGATGAGAAGGTACGCATTTTCATGACATAGCCTTCCCTATTTTGGTTCATTCTTAAAACTTCTTAAGTGGTAAATGGGGTAAATTATGGGTAATGTAACTCAAAGTCGCCTTTGGGATACGTACTGATACACTGCTAACCTTTTGACAGGCCACAATGCACCTCTGGGTTTAGGTTAAAGCCGGTCAGATCCCCTCCAAGCCTTTTCAGGGGCCAAAAGAGTTTCTAACATTGGTTTCGTTTTCCCACATTTCAGCATGTTAGACTTTTGCACGTCTTTTGATTCCCACATTTCAGCATGTTAGACTTTTGCACGTTTTTTCATTCCCACATTTCAGCATGTTAGACTTTTGCACGTTTTTTCATTCCCACATTTCAGCATGTTAGACGTTTGCACGTTTTTGATTCCCACATATCAGCATGTTAGAAGTTTGCACGTTTTTATTCCCACATTTTAGCATGTTAGACTTTTGCACGTTTTTTGATTCCCACATTTCAGCATGTTAGACTTTTGCACGTTTTTGATCCGACACCCACATTGAACATTCCCGTTTTCCCCCTTAAAGCCTTAGAGGCCTTTTGGTGTCAGGGCAGCCCGGTGACGGGGGGTCACGGGGGCATCCCGGTGACGGGGGGCCACGGGGGCAAGGACTTACGAGATTGTTCTTGTTCATGCTCACTTTTAAGAGAAATCTTTAGGTGGTGTTGCAACCTGCATAGATTTTTTTGCCTCTTAAAAAAATAAAACTTCTTTAGAAAATAACAACCATAAAAGTTCTTTCAAACGATTATAGTTATACGTTATTTTCTTAAGAAGTAAGCCCACATTCGAACTCCCACATACCGAACTCCCACAAACCGAACTCCCACAATTCAACCATTTGAGCAGAACAATCTTCCAGCGGAATCTTAACTGGATCCTTTTAATATGGGACATATAGAATATAAACGCAGGTTCAATTTTTCAATTTACACCTTTGTCTGTTTTGCAATTCAAATTGATTACTCGAGTAATGCGTACAAGATTGCATTATCTTTCATCCGGTGTTGCAATTGAATGCAATGAAGGTATGATTTACTAGGTGTTACCCTTTCAACCCTACTGCTTTATACACCATTGATACTTTCTCCACATTATTGAACATGCCAAGTTACAATTGAAGATACATTACATATCCACGTTTCAACCTTTTTCAGGTAATGCCAAATGGTTTTATAACATGTCAACTGTGTTAACTTGTTTTTATTTTCCAAATAACAGTATGACTGATTGATGGGCTTGGTATATCCCGAAGGTCTCCACGATCAATTGTTACCCAACAGAGTATATATATGGGGTACATTCTTTTAAACTTCTTAATCAAGTTTGTGTTGATTTTCTCACTATTTGATTTCCAATAATGTACAGTCGCCTAGTGGTCCCAACCAACAACACTTAATCTTAATGTACCGGTGATGCCCGAAGGGAAGTATCACATATATATTGCTCAATGTAGAAATAAGCATCCATCCGGTCTTTAGAGGTCTAGACACATTTTGACCCAAAGAGTTATTACTCAAGACGTTTCAGGAACTGCCCATATCAATCTTTCATCACTCACGTCTTTCTTACTTTGTTGTTTGGACATTTCAGAAGTCTGTGTGATGAGGACACTCGTGTGCTTTTCATAAAGTCTTTCCACAAATCTGTTTAGTGTACTTGCTCCTTTTATTGAACCCATGCTGTGAGTGTCTAGGTTGTATATTTCTTTAAATCTGAAAGCCATGTGCCTGCCATGTTTTAAGAGTGTCTATAAAGTTACTCTTGTTATTGAACAATGGACATACTGGGTCTAGGACCTATATCAGATAAGAATATATAAGGTATAGTTTCAAGCAGGTTTTTGATGTGCGTGTCTAGGTCTTATAATGTGTCTAATGGTCATAAAAAGTATAGTTTCAATCGGAACATGCACGTGTCTAGGTCTCATACTCGTATTAATCTGACTGCCATGTGCCTACCATGCTGGAAGAGTGTCTTAGACATTGTCTCTTGGGGTTCAACAATGGTGTACTGGGTCTAGGACCTATGTCAGATGTGACTTATATGAAGTATAGTTTCTAGCATGTTTCCAACGTGCGTGTCTAGGTCTTATAATGAGTCAAGGACTATATAAAGTTTAGTTTCAATCAAATCTCAATTTTGGAGGGTTTCCACTAATCACACTGTACTTGCTCCTTGTATCGAACCCATGCTGTGCGTGTCTAGGTTGTATATTTCTTCAAATCTGAAAGCCATGTGCCTGCCATGTTTTAAGAGTATCTATAAAGTTACTCTTGTTATTGAACAATGGACATACTGGGTCTAGGACCTATATCAGATATGAATATATAAGGTGTAGTTTCAAGCAGGTTTTTGATGTGCGTGTCTAGGTCTTATAGTGGGTCAAGGACCATATAATGTTTAGTTTCAATCAAATCTCAATTCTGGAGGGTTTCCACTGATAATATTTGGGTACTCGCACTTTATTATGCACATACAGGATCAACTTGGTAATACGTATTCTTCAAGTTGCAAGGCACGTTCACTCATTTTCATAAGTTACTCAGTCTTGCCACTTTTCATTTCTCTTACTGGTTAGAAAAAGTCAAATTCAGAGTAATGAGAGTACGTAATACCGCCAACATTTTTCAACACTGAAGAACTATTCTCATTTTAGACTTATTGTCTAAGCTGTTTCGCATCTCGCAGTACCTTTGAAAGAATGAGACTGACACTGTGTAGAAATTAAATTACTACGCACAACGCTGATTTACTTAATCATAGAAGCGCACATTTAGGAACCTTTGAGTCAGGTAACACTAATTGGTTTTATAACATGATAACGTTCACTTATGCAAGATGAATATCGGCTAAAAGTTAAAGGTCGAATATGCACTATGTGTCTAGGACGAGGGCAATTCAGTTGTTAAGTTTTGTTAGAGTATGTCAAATTGGCTTGTACATGTTAACACGGTTTTATTCCAAAGAGCATCATGAGTCCTGATGGATGAGTTAAAAACCCAAGGTGATGTCTAAATGCACTAGATGCTATACCACAGTTTAACTGCAATAGTCTGAGCATCTTTTATCCGATCAACAATCAGGTGTGGTCCTTTCAGACTTACACAGCGTGTTTCCCAAACCCTGATGAGCAACAGCCCAAGGTAAGTAAAGAACACAATCGGCTTTTCCAACATCAAGATATACACATTTAATAACCTTTGAGTCAGGTAATACTGATTGGTTTTATAACATGATAACGTTCACTTATGCAAGATGAATATCGGCTAAAAGTTAAAGGTCGAATATGCACTATGTGTCTAGGACGAGGGCAATTCAGTTGTTAAGTTTTGTTAGAGTATGTCAAATTGGCTTGTACATGTTAACACGGTTTTATTCCAAAGAGCATCATGAGTCCTGATGGATGAGTTAAAAACCCAAGGTGATGTCTAAATGTTCAATCTTGTCCCCAATGTGAATATATATAGCGTGTTCATTCATTTTCAACTTCTTGAACCAAGTGTTGTGTTGATTTTATTACTATTTGATTTCCATCAATGTACAGTCGCATAGCTTTTATGGTCAACAGCACTCAATCCTAATGTACCGGTGATGCACGAAGGGAATGAACACGTATACTCTTCAATGTCAAAGTAATACTATCCCAGCGTTTGCAAGTTT